TATATCTAATCTATATCTATATCTACATCTACATCCACATCCATATCTACATCTACATCTACATCTACATCTACATCCACATCCATATCTACATCTACATCTACATCTACATCTACATCTACATCTACATCTACATCTATCTGAAAAACAACAACCCAATATTCACGTCTACAGAAATTCTATCACTTTTTCACAGTGGTAGAATTTTTTTTTTTTTTTGTAATTTTTAGTGGTTTTTTTTTTTTAATGATCTTAACTCTTCAAAGAAAAAAATTATTTGCTTTGTTCTGCAACTGAAGTCTGCTAAAGTCGCTGTGGACCACTCTCATTTGTGAAGAAAAGTATTTCATCTTGCTTGCAATGTAGCTAATTTTGAGATGAATATTCTCCCCACCCTATCAAAAAAAAAATTTAAAACCAGCAGCATAAATTAAAGCTAAATGCCAATAAATTCATGTAAAAAAAACTAGGTCAAAAGATGCATTAATGTAATTTTCTCTCTTTGAAAATGAAGTTTATAAATTTCAACTGTGTGGCTATAACGAAGAACTAAAACATAACCTTTCCTTTCCTAAACATTCTGTAAGAAGAAGAGAATAATAAGGTTTTTTTGTATGAGAAACACATTCCTGAAGAGATATATCTGTGCAAGTGAGATTAAATTGTTTCAATTCATCTTTTATTATAATAGAACTTTTCTTACTAAATTATGCATTTTTAATATATTCACTTGAAAAAAAATGAAGACTTAAATAGTCCTAAATAAACACTCTCATTTAATCTTCAACTTCAGATGGCTGCTCTGCATTGCTCCTTTTATCTGATACTATGAAGTAATTCCAACACTAGCCCTGGAATTCTTCAACAAATCCCTCATTGCCATAAGACCAAACTTCTGATTGGGCAAAGATATAAAATGCAATAACTTCATTTTCTGAGGAGTTAGCTTTGGAGCTGTTGGATGCAATAACCCTCCAGAAGAAAACCCTGTTGTTGACTGTCATTTCAAACA